TCTAGTAACTGGAGAAACTGCCTATTGGCCTATCATCACAGGTAAATGTTTTTTATTTTTATTTTTTATTTATTTTTTTAAATATTTTATTTATTTATTTGACAGACAGAGATCACAAGTAGGCAGAGAGGCAGGCAGAGAGAGAGGGAGGAAGCAGGCTCCCTGCTGAGCAGAGAGACCAATGCGGGGCTTGATCCTAGGACCCTGGGATCATGACCTGAGCCGAAGGCAGAGGCTTTAACCCACTGAGCCACCCAGGCACCCCTGTATGAATCATTATACCTGTAAGTAAATACAAATATCTTTTTCACATTATCCTCTATTTTTTTTAAAAGATTTTATTTATTTATTTGACAGAGAGAGAGCACAAGCAGGGGGAGAGGCAGAGAGAGAGAGGGAGAAGCAGGCTCCCCGCAAAGCAGGAGAAGCCCGATTTGGGACTCGATCCCAGGACTGTGGGATCATGACCCGAGCCGAAGGCAGTGGCTTAACCAACTGAGCCACCCAGGTATCCCATATCCTCTAATTTTTAATAGTGTTAATAATACATATAAAATCTACAATGTTTTGCATCATATAAAACAGAGTGGTAGGTTCTGACAAGCAATTCATTTTATGAGGAATCTAAAATAGTCGAATACACAGAAGCAGAGAGTAGAATGGTGGTTTCTGGGGGAAGGAGAAAATGAGGAGGTATTAAAGGGTACAAAGCTTCAGTTATACAAGATGAGTAAGTCCTAAAACTCTACTATAAAGCAGAGCACCTATAGTTAACAATACTGTACTGTATATTTAAAATTTGCCAAGAGGGTAGATCTTATGTTAAGTGCTCTTATCATACACACACATAATAATAAATAAAGAGGGCGGGAGGAAACTTTTGGAGGTGATATACTTATGGCATAGTTTCCCAGATGGTCATGGTTTCCCAAATGTATATTTATCTCCAAGCTCACTGAGTTGTATACATTAAATGTATGCAATCATACTTTAATAAAATGACTAAAAAAGTTACGAGGATGGCAGCAGAGGAAACTGCAGTGAAAGGACATGTGAAACATAATACAATTGTCTTAGAAAAAAAAAAGCCACCAAGAAAATGTTTATCTTGGGGCGCCTGGTTGGCTCAGTGGATTAAAGCCTCTGCCTTCAGCTCAGGTCATGATCCCAGGGTCCTGGGATCAAGCCCCGCATGGGGCTGTCTGCTCAGTGGAGAGCCTGCTTCCCCCTCTCTCTCTGCCTGCCTCTCTGCCTACTTATGATCTTTGTCAAATAAATAAATAAAATCTTAAAAAAAAATGTTTATCTTGAATATCTTACTTCACGGTTATAAAGTTCAAATGAGATAATGTATGAAAATTGTTAAGTTCTCTTCTATAATGATTTTAATGATGGACAGCTGAAGAACAGTTATTATATAACATGCAATATAAACTTCACAGAACAGGAACAAACTTAATAAGGTATCTATTGCTCAGGCAGAGCATCTCTATCCTTCTTATTAAAAAATATTATTAGAAACAGTGACAGAGGGGCACCTGGGTGGCTCAGTTGGGTAGGCGACTGCCTTCAGCTCAGGTCATGAACCTGGAGTCCCAGGATTGAGTCCTGCATCGGGCTCCCAGCTCCATGGGGAGTCTGCTTCTCCCTCTGACTTTCTCCTAGCCCGTGTTCTATCTCTCTCTCAAATAAATAAATATTAAAAAAAAACAACAACAGTGACAGAAATTCCTTAAAAACACACACACAAAAGATAAAGCTCAAGATTTTCCAGTTTGAAGAGTACAGTAACAATCAGTCACTCTATAAATGTCAAGAGCAGAGGGCATGACTCTTTCATAGTCATTATTATTACACAATATATTGTTAATAAACACTAGTAATTATTCATTTATTATTTAGACTTAAAAATTGTGTTCACATACATCTTAAGCTAATTAGAATAACCTAATTATAGGCACTATTATCTCTAAAGGAAAGAAAATTGAGGTTCACAAAGGTTAAGGAGCTTTACCAAGATCACTCTATTAGTAAGTAATAGAGTTGGGACTGGAGCTCTAACTCTAAACTCTCTTTCGTGTCTCTGAACTACTTTTAGAGAAGTTCCAAAGCATGTATACTGATGAACCACTGATTCAGAGGTCTGACCCCTGCATAGAAACTCTTCCCTATTCTCACCATTTTATCATCTGGGAAATAGGAAAAATAAATATAGTGGTACCATCTTCCCCAAAAGGGTAGGACATAGGCAGAAACCCAAACTGGGACCTGTCTACCCAAGGAAGTGGTGCTAACACAGGATGACAATAAGAATTAAAAATCCCAGGGTGCCTGGGTGGCTCAGTGGGTTAAAGCCTCTGCCTTCAGCTCAGGTCATGATCTCAGGATCCTGGGATGGAGCCCCGCATCGGGCTCTCTGCTCGGCAGGGGGCCTGCTTCCTCCTCTGTCTCTGCCTGCCTCTCTGCCTACTTGTGATCTCTGTCAAATAAATGAATGGGATCTTAAAAAAAAAAAAAAAATTAAAATCCCAGATTCCTGAACACCTAAATATGAAAATTAATTTTTTTAGCACTAAAGCAGGCAGAAATGTAAACTTAATGAAATATGAAATTCAGAATGCTAAGCCAACAATTTTTTAAAATGATTTTGGATTGAAAGGGTCTATAAGGCTGTATGACAATCACTGCAGTCTTCCACTTCCATCAAAAATATTTTCTTCGGGGCGCCTGGGTGGCTCAGTGGGTTAAAAATATTTTCTTCGTGTTCACTGTTCTTATCTTAAAGTCCTCATGTGGTTAAGTGTCTAAAAAATTCTGGTATCTGCATCCTACTTCTGGTACATAATTTCTATATAACTCTCAAAACTATATATGGTAGATGGCTATTAATCAGTATACAGTTACTTAAGCCATAATAAGTGCACTAAGTTAAGATAAAGTAGGGATGCAAACAGATAAAGTACCAAGACTTAGCTATCAATTTAGCAACTAAAAAGATCTATTTCTACATTCTAATCAGATCTTCAACATCATTATTTTCCTTTCTGCACTGCATTTGCACAGTGTCTTATCAGAGGAAATAAAAATTATACAAATATTTTTTGGTAATAATGTGTACTATACTTCACTTACTTGGAAGAAATGTATCTGCTATAAATTATACAGACTACATAGTTAAGAAGTAACACAACAGATGTCCCAGATTTATATAGTGTATATACTTAAACTCAACCATTTTTACTTCTTTTTTTTTTAAGATTTAATTTATTTATTTCACAGACAGAGATCACAAGTCAGACAGAGTACACAAGTAGGCAGAGAGGCAGGCAGAGAGAGAGAGGGAAGCAGGCTCCCCGCCGAGCAGAGAGCCCATGAAGGGCTCGATCCCAGGACCCTGGGATCATGACCTGAGCCAAAGGCAGAGGCTTTAACCCAGTGAGTCACCTAGGCGCCCCAACCATTTTTACTTCTAAGAATATATTTCTCAGATCTATAAAGTAAGTTTTAATTTTTTTTTTTTAGAGAACGGGGGGAAGGGAGGAACAGAGGGAGAGAATCTAAAGCAGGCTCCACACCCAACACAGAGCCTGACCTGGAGCTCGATCTCACAACTCTTGAGATCATGACCTAAGCTGAAGTCAAGAATCAGACACTTAACCAAGTAAGCCACTCAGGCACCCCATAAGTTTTAATTTTTGATACTTGTTATAAACATAATCCTAGTAAGCTAAATAATTAATATTTGTCTTTCTTATTATAATAGGTCAGAAAGAGCAAACTGTAAGAAGAAATGTTTTTTGTTTTTAAAGATTTTATTTATTTGAGAGAGAGAGACAGACAGCAAGAGCAGGAACACAAGCAGGAGGAGTGGGAGAGGGAGAAGCAGGCTTCCCACCGAGCAGGGAGCCTGATGTGGGGCTCAATCCCAAGACCCTGGGATCATGACCTGGGTCAAAGGCAGACACTTTAAAACTGAACCACCCAGGCGCCCCAAGAAATGGTTTTCTGATAGCAAGGTACATACAATATGGAATGACAGCCAACAATAAAGCAAGGATAGAATGTTTTTTCAATTTTAGATGGCTGAAGAACTCACACGTGGGATATAAATTCACTGGTGAGAAAAAATGAGCTGTGACCGTTACTACTTTGCTGATGATGGAAAAGCAAAGCCACAGAGGTTTGTTTACTACAAGGTAACCTTGTCCTATTACAGTCTGTCCTTTCCTTTCATTTTTTGTGTTTTTTTTTAAGACTTTATTTTTAAGGAATTTCTACATCCAGTGTGGGCCTTGAACTCACAACCCCAAGATCAAGAGTCACACACTCCACCAACTGAGCCAGCCAGATGCCCCCCTACAGCTAGTCATTTCTTGAACAAGAAATATGTGATGGGAATTTTCATATTATCTAAACAAAAAGTAAGGAAGTACCTGATGACCTTGAGATTTTTTTGTGGTTAGATGAATAAAGAAGGAATAAAAGGTTAAGGATGACTTTTTTTTTTTTTTTAACACAGTCAAGATTTAATCCAGACACAGTTATAGAAATTATGAAAGACACTGAACTCAAAGCATGATTATTTCATCATATCTATTTATGGTATTTCTCAAATTTTGTGACATTTAAACCTAAACATGAATATACTATTTGTAGGTTTCAATCTTTATTACTTAATACAATGGGCAGGCAGAGTTGCTCTAAGTGGTTATTTATATAAAAGGAAACAAAGTCTGCTACAAATAAAAACCAGGTACTGTCAGGAGAGTAGACAGAATTGACAACTTGTGAAGTCTGGACCCATCATCCACCGGTTTTCCCACACCATCTTCTGCTCCTCCAAGCAGACGGAAATAACCAGTAATCATAGCTGTTCTTTATTAATGAAATCACAGTCTAAATCCCTATCTGAAGAACTAAGTATTTTTGTATGTTGAATAATAAAGACAACAAATAAACTTACAATTACTTCAGGGATAGGTAGAGATTTATCAACTTACTTTGTGTCCTAGCCCTTATTCTTGCAGCTTGTTCAAACCATTCCTGAGGTTTTTTTTGATATCCCGAGCCTGAAGCAAATACATATATCAAGATTATCATTTCACATACTTTGAAAATGTATACCATACAAATTTACAAGGTAAATTTATCAGAGAGGCAAAACAAATTTGGGGAGGAAAATAACAAAATCAATAGGTTCAGAAGTAAAAGATAATGTTAAAATATCATACCATGAAGGATGAACCACTACTTAAAGTAAAATAGGCAGCAAATAAATACATAATCACCTAATAGACAAACCTATGTACAAGTCCTTTGTTCTGGTCTGAGAATGACTGAATTCAAAAATAACTGAACTTGATTTCAGTATTAAGAAGAAAAAGTTCACATTTATTCTTGTAAATAAGTTACTTCAGGTCAAATAGTCCTAAACACATTTCTGCATCACAGAGTAATTACACATTTGGTACCAATGTCTGGTGGGATTAAAAGGCAAAGAAGATAAAATTACTTAAAATGCTATTCAAATCTAAATTTGACAAAGTCAAAATTACTTGACTAATAAAAGAACAGACAACCAATCACATACTTAGCACAGAAGGGTGCTTATCAACAGTTATGAAGTCTCGACCTAAAACAGACCAGAAAGAAAGGTCATACAACATATGGAAATAAGAACTGCACAGACATTTTAGTTATAGAATATGGATACTATAAACCAAAAAAATCCCCCCAAAATCAAACCTTTCTTTCATCAGTCCCAAACATGTAATATATCCATTTTTTTCCTTTTCTAAACTTAAGTATTCAAGAATTAAATATTAGTAAGTCAACTTTTGGATCAATACCATCGAAATAATGGCTGCATGCAGTGAATTGTTTACCAGGTATGAAGTGTAATTTTACTTAATTTTCACAGTTTATGTGGTTGATCCCATTATTCCTAATTACAAGCAGGACACTGAAACGTATCATTTGTCCAAGATTACGTATCTAGAGGTAGCAGAGCTGAGATATAAACCCAGGCAGTCCATATATGTTAATATATACTATAGAAGCAATATTGTGGGCATTGCAAAGTAGTTATGGAGAGAAAGATGCTATTTTTTGTTTTGGGATGGTACCTACAGACAACTGTAAAATGATACAATGGGACAACTAGAAGTGGTATTTCAAACAACTATAACAAAATAAATATTCAAATCTGCCCTAAAGAAATGAGTTATTTCTACAGATTGATACAAATGTCACAGTAAATTTGTCAATTTTTTTCAGCATACAAATGCAATATACACTAGCTGTAAAAGAAATAAAACACTTTAGAAATGTACAACTTAAAAATTCATAAATATTTATTAAGTACATACTATGGGCAGGAATACCATAGTGAATAAGACGTATGAACATTCTTTCAGATTTATTTTCAGTCTATACCAACAAAATACTTTTTAAAAAAAGCAGACATATGCTTTTTAAAATGTCTTTTAAAGATTTATTTATTTGAGAGAGCCTACGTGCATGTGAGGGAGCAGAGACGGAGCAGCGTGGGAAGTGGGAGGGCAGAAGGGGAAGGAGAGGGAGCAGGAGAGGGAGAGAATCTCAAATAAACTCTGCACTGAGTGCAGAGCCCAACACGGTGCTCATTCCCACAACCGGAATGACCTGAACCGAAACCAAGAGCAGAACCTTGACCAGCTGAGCCACCCAGGCACCCCAAGAAGTACTTTAAAAAAAAAAAAATCTCTGACTTAGATCTGTATCTATTTTTTTTTAAGATTTTATTTATTTATTTGACAGAGAGAGAGAGATTACAAGTAGGCACAGAGACAGACGGAGAGAGTGGGGAAGCAGAGAGCCCAATGTGGGACTCGATTCCAGGAACCTGAGACCATGGACCTGAGCCGAAGGCAGAGGCTTAACCCACTGAGCCACCCAGGCACTCTATATGGAGATACTTTTAAGAGCGTCCAAAGATCAAAGATATAGAATAACAAAGGGCAAAGGTACCAGATGATTCAGCAAGTAATTTTACACAAATGACTGATTTTCCTGTCTCAGTGGCTTTTGTTTTATTGCAGTTTTAAGTTCAAACCCAAACCTTCCAAAAACTAAATATATAAAAAGTGAAATAAAATGGAATTCTATGAACACAGTAATTACAAAACAGATTTCTAAAGACTTTTTCTTTAAAAACAGTCTCATGGGACACCTGGGTGGCTCAGTCAGTTAAGTGTCTCTGCCTTTGGCTCAGGTCATGATCCCAGGGTTCTGGGATGAAGTCCCATATCTGGCTCCTTGCTCAGCAGGAAGCCTGCTTCTCTTTCTGCAACAAATAAAGAAATAAAAATCTTTATTTATTTATTTATTAAGTAAATAGTCTCGTATTTTAAAAAAGGTGATGTAGAGGGGCGCCTGGGTGGCTCAGTGGATTATAGCCTCTGCCTTTGGTTCAGGTCATGATCCCAGGGTCCTGGGATTGAGCCCCGCATTAGGCTCTCTGCTCAGAAGGGAGCCTGCTTCCCCCGCCCCACCTCTGCCTGACTCTGCCTACTTGTGATTTCTGTCTGTCAAATAAATAAATAAAATCTTAAAAAAAAAAAAAGGTTATGTGGAAAGAAAAAAAATCCTTGAAAATTTTATATACAAGTATATTGTAGGTTGATTAATAATTAACTCAAATTCTGGGACTTGATTTATAAATGGAAGGGAAGAAACTATCATTTCTGCTTAACCTAAGAAATACATATCTATGGTATATAATCTGCAAAATACAGAAGGAAAAGAAAAATGTCACCAATTACTCTACCATCCTAAACAAATCACTGTTATTAGCATTTTACTGTATTACTTTCCAATCTTTTCTTTTGTTAAATTTTCTCAACACATTGTGAAAATTTTTAAGATTGTAAGTGAGGCTATAAGATTTTTATATACCTACCACCTAGTTTATCATTAACTTTTTACTATACCTTGGTTTATTACTTATTCAACCTTCCAAACTTTTGCAACAGGGCTCAAATCATACTACATATAAAATTTTATATCCTTATTACAATATGTACACGTAAGGAGACTCAAACTACATTAGTTAAATTAAACTGAAAACAGTCAACAAATTTATATGGGAAGCAAGGACATTCAATAAGTCACAGAATGCAGATGCTTGTTTTTTAAATTCAAGCTTAAGTACAGAACTGAAGCAAATTCAAGATGCTGAATGAGTTTTTTAGCATTCACGAGATCTCTTTTTGAATACTGCATGATAAACTGGAAAAGAGGATCTTTAAAAAAGAACAGCATTTGACCACACACACAGATAGACTTTTAAGAACTGAAGACACGGTTTTACTTACTTTGTGATGGCTGCCAAAATGATTCTGGATATTGAGTTGATGATCTGGTTGTCTGATCTAAAAAAACAGCAACAAAAATAAATACAGTACACTATAAAGTATAAGTATATTTTTTAAGTGCATATTTTATAGGAGAACAATGAGTAATAAAGAAGCAAAGATATTCAGTAAAACCCCAGGGAATTCAACACTTGGGCACACAATTTATTTTTAAAAAGTTTCTAAAGAGTCATATTGTATCTAAAAAATTAACTAATTATCTCTTTCCCTAACCACTTCCTAAAGAGAAAAATGTAAGGTATGGAACATGGCATGAGGTAAGGGAGATAAAAAAAGCTTTTGAGTTGGGAACATTTAGTTTATGATGGATCTTCTTAAAATCATTACTACCCATTTTGCCTCAAATTTTTCTTGTAAGTGGCCAATACATTATATATTTTAGTCTACTCTTCTTTAAAAACTTGTTTTCGTATAAAGATGGGAATCATAACTAAACCTGTTCAAAAGCAATCAGATTGTTATCCTGGAAGCAGGAGCATTTGACATATTCAAGGTGGTGGCTAAATATTTTTCTTACCATATTCTATTACTAAATAATTCCAAGCATCAATATCTAAAACATATTACTGAAATAATATATTAACTAATGTGTTACATTTATTATAAAATAAAAACAGACATTTTAAATGGATGAAATATAAATATACATGAAATTCTAGTATTTTCTTCCTGCACTCCAATGGATCTGTTTTTTGTTTTGTTTTTATTCAAATTTCAGTTAGTTAACATATGGTATACTACCAGTTTCAGATGTAGGATTAAGTTACTTAACAACGCTTCCAGATACTCCCTGGTGCTCAGCACAGCAAATGCACTCCTTAATCCCATCACCTGCTTCACCCATTCCCCACCCACCCTCCCCTACAGGTCCGGTTGTCCTCTATCGTTAAGAGTCTGTTTCTTTCTTTGCCTCTCTCTCTCTTTTTTCCCCCTTGGCTCATTTGTTTCTTCTTGTACCTCTTCTGTGATAATTAGCCCAGGAAATAATCTAGGAAAATATGTATTCTTCTTAATATGCTCCCCTTTTTGTTCTTTAGCTAGTTTTCTTCCACATGCGGGTATGTGCTTCATTAAGAATTTACTAGAATCCTAAAGGGATCACAGAGCCTGTGGTTTACGTAGTTTCGAAGAGTTATATGCTAGTAGCAATGGCGTCAAATTATTGGCTATATGAATGGCTTAATCAGTCTCTAATTTTTAGAGCTTTGTGTATACTTATACCAAAACTTATACCAAACTTACACCAAAACTAATAAGAACCATGAATTTCAGTGCTTACTATGTGACAGGTACTTTCTAGGTGCTTGCACATGTGACTTAATTTAACCTCTTAAAAACCCAGATGCGGAAACTGAGGAACACAGAAGTTAAACAATGGCCCGAGGGCACCAACCTAGTGGAGGAGGAGTGGAACCCCGGGATTCAGGCTCCAGAGCCCATGTTCTTAACCACTATGCTAGAATGGTGCATATCTCCTTTGGGATTTCTGTATCAAGAAAGAATGGGGGAAAATGAGGAAGGGTGGAAAATAGAATACCAAATGCCCATATGCCAGCTTATGAGCTTATTTTTAAAATGGAACGATGAAGTAAAACAGGAATTACAGAAATTCTCAAAAGGTGGTGAGGGGAAAGTAAAAATTTACTCTTTCATAGGACTAAAATATAAATTCATTATCTGCAGAGTTTACAAATTGGTTCAGCAGCCTCTTAAGACTCAACTGGTATTTTTTTCTCTTCAGTCAATTCTTTCCTTTACTACACAAATTCACGTGAACAATCATAAACTGTTATTACCGACCTGGTGTGAATTTGAACAATCCAGAGATAAAAGCAATTACCTAGGTATATTAAAACTTCCTAAATGCTAACTAACATTCCTGTTGGTATAATGAGTACCAATGCCAATGAGATCAGTTTCCCTATAAGATGTAAAAAAATTTTTTTAGATTTCTTTGAGAGGGAGAGAGAGCAAGTGTGTGTATACTCACACACACACGAGTATGCAAGAGGAGGGAGGGCGAGAGGTAGAGGGACAAGCAGACTCCCTAAGAGGGAAACCTGACATGGGGCTCAATTCCAGGACCCTGAGATCACGACCAGAGTTGAAGGCAGATGCTTAAGCCACTAAGCCATCCCAGGAATCCCTCTCTATAATATGTTTTTAAAAAACTACAAATAACTCTTCTTTCGAGCACAAAAAGTATCTTCTATTCCATTAATATCAAAGTAGGCTAAAAAGTGACTTATTTATTTAGATGTTACATGACATTACTACTAATTAGATGCACACATGAAATGGGTAATTTTAATAAATAGTAAAAAGTACACAACTTTTAATAAAACACTTTGAAGTATTTTAAAAGCAAATTCACAAATGCCTTTATATTTTAGCTAAAAAGCTCCTAAGATAAAGTCATACGTATATAAAGCAATATTACCTCCAGAATCAAGAGAATCCCCGGATCTGACCTTAACAGTAGTAATATCACTGTCAGAGCTGTCTTGATCGTCCTGTTCAGTTTCTCCTAAAAAGAAGTAAATCATACACTAGCAGAGTCTTTACTCAATACTTTAATGATCTAGATTAAAAAACAAATAATTCAACATTAAAATGAGACCTCTCAAATTATCAGATATAGAATTATTATTTATTATGCTTACTATTCTGGATCACAAATTTTCATACAAGCTAAAATGAGTTCATTAATGTTCTCTGAGGCACATAATTATCTCTCAAACAAATATTCAGAGTAATATCTACAAGATTATATTCTGAGGCTTTACTATAGAGTCAAAGAGTAAACAATTGAGCATTAAGTAGTGGAAAAGTTCTACATTATGGGGGGAACTATATATAGTCAGTGTGTAAATACAGAGAAGATTTATATAGGCACACACGTGTATACATATGTCCCTCTGTGTTTCTGAAAGGGGGATGTACACATACATCCATATACAAACATCTAGTATGCAGGTAACCTTAGATTACGTGGGTTCTAAAATAGGACTAAATTTTGTTGTACTATTCACAGGCTGATTTTGGAAAAATGGTGATTTTAATACCATAGTCAGAGGCCAGCATATGCCAGAATCTTTTTTTATTAACTTTGCTTAAAATTATTAACTCAGACAAAAGATGCTTAAAATGCATATAAAGACTATCATCCCTCACTCTATCCTATTTTACCTGCCCAATTATGAGTTCAGATAAGCATGGATTTTTTTCTTTTCCTGAAGAAAAACACTATTTTCTACTCTTTCTAAAGTACTATCAAAACTACACCTCATGTTAATGGGCAAAAAACAAAACAAAACAAAACAAAAAAACAACCATTTAGAATATTTTAAAAGAAAATACCTCCTTCAGAAAAATTGACTTTCTGTTGGATACTGGTGGCTTCTAGAAAAGAAAAGCAGACATGTCACATGTAATACCAAAAGCTAAAGCTCAGAAATAAATAAGAGCATGTAATTTAGGAAAGGGAACATAAAGACAGACCAACTAACTTTTTTTCTATTAAATCTTAAAAATATATGTATCATTTACCTCTAGGTTATGTGAGTATTATAAATAAGTCTGACACAAACTAGAATCAGAAAGTTTATTTTTCCTTTAGCCGCCAGGTCCATTTGAACTCTAAAATGTAACCTGTTGCAGAAAACATTAAATTCTCTGTGGACAAATAATTCCAGTCCCTATACAGGTTAACTGTATTCTCATTCTCCTATTTGCCAGAGTCCCTACACTCTTAAGACACCCACCATCCTGGTAGAACTGACAAACCAGTTCTTTATTGCACTGATATAGCTAAAAACGAAGAAAGAGGGAAAGAAACTCTGTCTAGCTCCAGCAAGTTCATGAACACCACTATTTCTCAGAGGCAGAGAATCTGGACAAAGATAAATGACACAATGTATCAAACAATTTTTAAATGTAGTATTTTTATATGGGGTATTCTGAAAGGTTTTTCATTGAAGGGAGATAAATCCAAATGTGGCCTTGCATTAATTGGGCTAAAATATTGCAGAGTGATCATTTGAGAAGTAGCATGAATCAGATTGCTCACAAAGCCGAAATCTGTTTCTTTTCTCTCTAATTATCTTAACCTGTATTTGCTTTCCAAAAGGGAAAACTATTGTAAAAGACAAGTATCAACAAATTTGACGGTGAATTTAGGAATCTTCTGTTCAGGTCAGTTTAATTATATTAATATAACACTGGTCAAACTATTCCTACTATAACAGTGGCAAATGAAAATCAATATGTGAAATATATTTGCAAAATTTTTGGTATAACTAACTGTAACTGCACATAGTAACTATGTTACTCTTAAAAAGCTAGAATCTGGTATATTAGATTCCACTTTAATCTAGGATCTTTAGGGAGACTGTCTTTTCAATTTTCTTTTCCAAGACGAAAAATGGAAAGCCAAATATGCCTTAGTGCTATTCTCTTAAATTTTTTTCATGAATATTTCCATTCGTATAAAAAGATATCATTCCCTTTTTGGAGTTTTCTAGGCATGTAAATATTACTGTACTTGTCTTTTGTATATATATATATGTATATATATAACTTACCCCACAGCATGCAAACAGATGTTTTCTTAAAAATCAGTCATTATGTCTTACGTCGTTATCTTCATAATAGTTAAGCCCTTGATATTTACATGCTGCTAGTTAATTTTCTAAAAACCTTCATGTCTGCTATCTGATTCTCACAAGGTCATAAGGGAATAATTTCCTAGGTAATGCTCATAGATATTAAATGACTTTTCTAAGGGAGTCAGAACAGATGATGAAAAAAAGACTTGATCACAGGGCTCTTTTGATTTCTAGTCTACTACCCATCTACCACTGCATCAGTCTTGTTTATAATGGCATATGGTCAGCAATGATCATTACTTTTTAAATTAATTCTTTTATTTTAAAGAGCAGTTTAAGATTCACAGTAAAACTGAGGGGAAGATAGGTAGATTTCCTATATGGTCCCTGACCCACACATGCATAGCCTCCTTCCTCCATTATCAACATCTCCCATTAGAGTAGTCTATTTGTTGAAAAGTGGTGCCACTGACGGATCTACATTTATACACCATAATCACCCAAAGACTCTAATTTACATTACAGTGCACTCCTGGGTGTTGCACATTCTGTGGGTTTAGACAAACATATAATTACATGTACCCATCATTACGGCATCATACAGAGTATTTTCATGCCCTAAAAAAATCCTGGGCTCTATCCTATTCATCCTTCCCCTACCACCACAAAATCCTTGATGACCACTAATCTTTTTACTGTCTCTATAGTGTTGCCTTTTCCAGAAAGTCATAATCAGTTCTTGCATGTCTTTGCATGGCTTGATAGCTCATTTCTTTTTAGCACTGAATAATACTCCATTGTCTGGACGTGCCAGTTCATTTATCCATTCACCTACTGAAAGACATGTTGGTTAATTCCAAGTTTTGGCAACTATGAATAAAGATGCTATATATGTGTGCAGGTTTTTGTGTAAACATTTAAGTTTTCAACTCCTCTGGGTAAATACCAAGGAATGTAATTGCTGGATCATATAGTAAGAATGCGGTTAGTTTTGTAAGAAACCATCCGTCTTCAAAGTGTATGTACCATTTCATATCCCCACTAACATTGAATGCGTTCCTCTTGCTCCACATTCTTGTTAGCATTTGGCACTGCCAGTTTTTTGGACTTTGGTTATTGTAAGAGATATGTAGTGGTATATTGTTTTAAACTGCATTTCCCTGATGACATATAATGTAGAGCATCTTTTCATATGCTTACTTGCCATCTGTGTATCTGCCATTGAGGTGTCTGTTAAGTCTTTGGCTCATTTTTCAATCAGGTTGTGTTCTTATTGTTGAGTGCTAAGAGTTCTTTGTATATTTTGGATAACTGTCCTTTATTAGATGTGTCACTTGCAAGTATCTGCGCTCAGTCTGTGCCCTTTGTTCTTACTCTCTTTATCGTCTTTTGCAGAGCAGAGGTTTCTAACTTCAGATAAGTTGTTGGGATTTTCATTGTAAATACACTGAATCTATAGATTAAGTAGAAAAGAAGCCGTATCTTGACAATACTGAGTCTTCCTATTCATGAATGTGGAATATCTCCATTTTTTTGGAAATTCTATGATTTTATTAATCAGTTTTATAGTTTTTCTCATATAAATCTGTACAAATCTTGGATTTATAGCTAAGTATGTCATTTGGGGAGGCCATGCTATTGTAAATTGCATTGTTTTTAATTTCAAGTTTCTCTTGTTCTTTGCTGGTATGTAGAAGTGATTAGCTTTGGTATATTAACCTTGCATCCTGTAACCTTGCTATAGAATTACTTACTAGTTCCTATTTTTGTCCATTCTTTTAGATTTTCTACATTGATGACTATATTACCATTGAACAAAGACAGTTTTCTTTCTTTCTTCCTAACCTGTATACCTATTGTTTCCTTTTGTCTTACTACATTTGCCAGAACTTCCAGCACAATGTTAATAAGGAAAGGTGAGCAGGACCATCTCTGCCTAAGTATGCATTTAGGTTCCTTTATGTCTTTTCATGGCTTGACAGCTTATTTCTTTTTAGCACTTGTAATAATACAAAAGCTTCCAGTTTCTCACCATTTTGATGTTAGCTGTTTAGATTTTTTGTAGTACTGTGAAACTGAGAAAAATCCCCTCTATTCCTGTTTATCACGAATGGGTGTTGGATTCTGTCACATGCTTTTTCTACATCTATCAATAGGATCACGTCACTTTTCTTTTTTAGTTTGTTGATGTGATAGACTTTCAAATGCGGACCCAGCCTTGGATACCTGGGACAAATTCTACTTGGTTGTAGTGTATCTTTTGTAAGTAATCTCTACACCCAATGTGGAGCTCGAATTCACAACCCCCAGGTCGAGTCACAAGCTTTACTGACTTGAACCAGTCACATGCCCAATTCTTTTTGTAGTTTGGACTCATTTTGCTAATATTTTGTGGAAAACTGTTGCTTCTATGTTCATGAGATATTGATCTTGTAGTTTTGTTTTCTTGTATCTGTCTAGGCTTGGTATTAGGGGAATACTGGCCTCATAGGATGAGCTGGGAAGCAATTCCTCTGCTTCTATATATAGTAATTTGTGACATTTTTTCTTAGTTTTATCTCTTCTTTTTTCTTTTTTCCTTGGTTAGACTGGCTGAAGGCTTTACCTTTGATGGTAATTTTGCAAGGTACTAGGCTTGGTCTTTTACTCTCTACACTTTTTTTGAAATCATTCACTCTACTCCTTCCTTGTGTGTATGGTTTCTGAAGAAAATCTGAATGTAATTCTTATCTTTTTTCCTTTATAGGTCAGTTCTTCTAGCTTCTTTCAGGTTTTGTCTTTGATTTTCTGTAGTTTGAAAATGATAAACACCTAGGTGTATTTCTCTCTCTCGCTCTCTTTTTTTTTTTTTTTTTTCATTTATTCTGCTTGGTGTTCTCTTAGCTTCCTGAATCTGTGATTTGGTGTCATATTAACTTGAAGAAATTCTTAATCATTATTGTCTCAAGTATTTCTTGTGTCCCTTTTTTCTTCTTTTGCCACTCCCATTATGTGTGTTAAACATTTTATAGCTATATAGTCCTAGGGTGTTGTTTTTTTCAGTCCTTGATACTTCTTTTTGGTTGAGAATTCTGGTTTTTAAAATTAAGATGTAACTGACACATAAACATTGTGTAAGTCTGTCTACAACATACTGACTTAATACATTTATATATTGCATTACCACGATCACAGCATTGTTAACACCTCTATCACATCACATTATCATTTATTTGAGTAGTCTATCGATACGCCCTCTAGCACAGAACTTTCTTTTCCTCAGCCATATCCAAACTACAATGTCCGTCAAGGGCAGTCTTCATTTCTATTAGAGTGTTTATCTCTAGCAATTCTTTCTGATTCTTAGGATTTCTGCTTGTTTACACTGTCTGTTTGTGCATGCTGTCTACTCGTTAGACTCTCTAGCAAAATCAATCATAGTTGTTTTAGATTTCTGGTCTTATAACTCTTTTTTTTTTTTTTAAGATTTTATTTATTTATTTGACAGAGAGCGATCACAAGTAGACAGAGAGGCAGGCAGAGAGAGAGAGATAGGGAAGCAGTCTCCCTGCTGAGCAGAGAGCCCGATGCGGGACTTGATCCCAGGACCCTGAGACCATGACCTGAGCCGAAGGCAGTGGCTTAACCCCACTGAACCACCCAGGTGCCCGGTCTTATAACTCTTAACATTCCTGTCATATCCGGTTCTGATGTTGGTGGGCTCTTCAAATTATTTTTTCCCTTTGATAGGTCTTTTCCTTTTTTTTTCTTTTGAGAGAGAGAGAGAGAACAAATGCATGCACATGCATGTGGGAG